TTAGGATTAAAGTGGAGATGATGATAATTTTGATGAAAGCCAAACCGCATGTCAGCACAAGTCCAGGCCTCAAACCATCTCCATCAAGAGTGCTGTGTGTGAACAGATGTCTACAAACCTCAGTGTACTAAAGCAATTTTATAAAGATGAAAGAGCCAAATTTTCTCCTTATCAATGTCAGAGACAGATAAAATCTTGTAGAAAACCTATTACATCATTGCTGCTAAAGACCTGAGACTGGAATAGAGACTTTGCTTTATCTGACTGTAAAAGAAGCTCGATCATCACAACCCTAACACCACAGCCCTAACTGGCCCCTTCTCGGAGTAGACATCAGCAGGTCACAACGCTTTGACATTATAACAATCTGATTGTTCACATGCAATCTTGATCCTGGACAAAGACTATTATGCTGAACCAGTAACAACAATATCATGAGGATATATCAAATATACCATAAAAGACAAACACAAACTTCCCTGCTGTGTATATATTGTCTGAGTCTCTCTGTTCTTTGTCATGTTGTTGTCATTTGTTCCCTTCGAGCTATGTTTCTTTCCTAGTGCTTAGTTTGTTCCTAGTCTCAATTTTTGAACTTTGTTCCCTGAATTACGGCAATAAAGCTTCCTGTTGAGTTTAGCTCTGGTTGCGAGAACAAATCAAATTTGAATTATTGGTGAAAAAAAACAGTAACATCCTTCCTACAGAAGTTAAGTACTGCAACTGGAGATATTTATTTAGATGGCTTCTCTCTAATTGATCTCTTTGAACTTTAATAATTACTTTCACCATGCCATCAGCATGTCATTTCAGTGAGGAGAGATCATTAGAAGGAAAGTGGAAATGATGTAAAGCTTAGATTAGAAAAAGGTTCTTGTTGTTTTCATTAGTTATGTTTTCATTAGTTATACTTCTTAACAAATCAGAATCTGCAAAACGTACTTAGAAGGTCGCACTTTAGAAATTTTGAAATCATAATCAGCTAAGAAAAGTTCAGGTGGTGCATCCGTACTTCTTATGGCCTCAGACAGTGGACTCTTTGTACCTGTCCTGCTAAATCAGTGCAGGATTCAGTACTGTTGACCATAAGATTATACGAGACAGCGTGGACCACACTGTTGGATTTAAAGGAAATACACTGAACTGCTTTGAACCATGTATATCTAATAGATTACAGTTTGTTCAGGTAAACAGGGTGCC